CCTTCGACACTCCCTTCGACACTCCCTTCGACACTCCCTTCGGCTATACTTAATCTTCTTCTTCCTGGAATTCCACAGAACCAGCCTTTTCTTTTTTATGCAAGCAGGCCTCCTGAGACAATTCATGCACTCTTTTGAATTTGGGGAGCTTTAGCTCCCTACACCCAGGGGCGCTGTCGACTCTCGGGGACTTCTTCCAGGAACTCACGGGGAGGCACGGATCCTGGGTGTGGGGGCGTGAGGGTCAGGTATGGCTTGCTCCTGTAAGACAGAGTTCCTTTCATGCCCTTCACTGTGCTCAAGCAGGGGAAGTATGGGAACTGTAGCCTTCTCTGCAAAATGAGGAGCTGAAAGGTGGCTCTAGCTACTTGGGGCCCCGGTATGCTCAGTTTGTGATGGGATCAGTGAGGTCAGAAGCTCTGGCTCCGAGTAGGTAGGAAGACTGCACACTTTCTTCTCTGCTGGGCCCATCATTTTTGTGGGTTTTTGCAGAAAAGACTAAGTTCTTTAACATGCCTCCAAATATGCGTATGAGCTCATGCATGAAAAGGAGGAGGAGGACACTGAGAAAGATGCTCAGGAGGAGGGCATTACCTGAAGGGCACTATCCTCAGTCACGGAGGAGAGAAATGGTCATGTCGCCGCTAGAGATGGGAAAGCAGGAGAGACAAATGCCATTGGGTGCTGCAGGCTCTAAGGGGCCCTCCCAGCCTAGACTAGGCAAAACCAGACCTGGAAACGTGGTAGGAACATGGCCCATTTGGCATACAGTCAAGGCTGGCAGGGACCTACCTAAGAGCCCATCACAGCCATGAACAAATGGCCCCAAGTGAAGGCAGCTCCAGGCCCAGGCCCTGTCCTTAAGATAGGGTCTTGAGCAGATAGATCTGGAACTGCATAGCAGCCATGCAGCTTTTTCCAAGTCTGTGGGCAGGCAGGGCATAAAGGAGCCATGGGGAGTGTTGGAGGGAGGGGAAGTCTTTCAAGAACCTGGTACCCAGCCTGGTGAGGTTCCAGGCGATACACAAATGTGGGGGCCCAAGGCCCAGGGGGCATGTAGAGCCAGTGTTTATCCTTAACTGTCACCCAAATCTAAGTCTTTGATCCCCTCTCATATTGCAGAAGAGGAGACTGAGACTCAGAGAAGGGGAGGGACTGGCTAGGGTCACACGGTGGGCCAGGGCCAGACCTAGAGGCCTGCCTAAAAATATAGCATAGCTCAAGGGGGACCCTCCTGGCCATTTCTCTTTGTAGCATGGGATGCCAACTCACCTATCTTCTGCCACAATGGCCTCATTCAGCTCTTGAGACAGCTTCTGGAGATGCTGGATTCCTGCCCCCACAGGCTCTAGGTCACTGTCAGATTCACTTAACAGAAGGAAAAGCCACAGGCACCAGTAACTAGTTGGAAACGTATGGCAGGAGCCCCTCCCAACCCAGCATGGCAGCCTGGGGCCATATGGGGATGGTCATCACCCCAGACCCTCCTTCCAAGAAGTGACATCGGAGTGACTTTGAGCAGCTGGCAGAGAACAGATGGATCAAAGTTCAGGAGGCCAAGGTCAAGGGCAGTTGATCTTGCAGACAGGTGAGCCCTGCTGTTTCCCACTTGAGTCTCAGCCTCCAGATGACTTCAAAACTGGCTTTTGGGCTCACTAGGAGGCTTAGGGGAGTGTGATACAGGCAGAGCTAAGCTCACCTCTTCCTTTCACAGAGGAGGAAACTAGAGCCCTAAAGGTCTTCCCCAGGTCTCCAACTAGTGGAGGACAGAACATGAATGTGACTCAGTTTAGGGTGGCCTGCCTCCATGGAGCCCCAGAAGGGGCTCAGAAGCCCCTGAGGCCTGTTAGTGTTTTGGGGGAAGGACACTTTTCCACTTACCTGGGGGAACAGAGGGGATCCATAGAGGAGTAGGGGCTCCGGAAGGCAGCTTCCCTCCTGGACCGCCTCAGTGGGTGAGCACATGGACCCATCTGAGTGGAGAGGCGGTGACGCTCCCTCTCCCAGGGGCCCAGAGTTGAGCGGACAGGGGCGGTTCCAGAAAGGCGGGTGCTCCTCTGGCTCTGGCTGCGAGCTAGGGGGCTACTGCCCTTCTGTGCCTCTCTCTTCCTCCTCCTGGCTTTCACCTGGGTTTCCACCAGCCACTTGGTTCCACTTTGGCAGGACTCCTGGATTCTCTGAGACAGTTACATGGAAAGGTGAGCACAGACAAGCTAAGGGCGACCCATCCTAGTCTCTAAGCCATACTTCCAACCCCTCCACCTATTGGCTGTCCTACACACACAGGCAGCTTTTAGCCTCATGAGTGAGGGATGTGGGTAATGCCATGTGACATAGGTCCACTGCAGGGGACCAGCTCAGAGATCCCAGTGGTCAGCAGCAGACTACTGGCTCGTAGAACCTCTACTTACCTAAGTCCAAACCTTCTTTTGGGACAGGGATTGACCCAGAGACTCAAGGGCAAAGCCTATCTCCCAGGATACCATGAGATAATCTGTCTCTTTGCCTCTGGTCTCACTCTAATCCATTCTCCACATTGGGGCACACAGATCCTTTCAAGGGTAGTTCTGATCATGGCATTCAACTGCTCAATACACTTCTATGGCTCCCCATCACCCACAGGAGCAAGCCCTAACTCTTGGGTCTTTCGCACCAGCTGGGGGACAGCTGTGAAAGCTCTTCCTCAGCTAGACTGTCTTTGCCGTGGCAAACCAGAGTCCAGAGGTTAGAGCAAGACCAGAGATACATTTGGTGAGTTATGTGACCTTGGGCAGGCTACTTCATCCCTGATCCCCGGGGATAAAACAATTGTAGGGGTCTTTCAGACAAGGATTAACATTTGGTTTAGAGACCTCTCTACAAAGGGTCCAGAAACAGCTTCCCCCTCCCACATCTTCAGATTCCCAAGCAGACACCAAGGACAACCTCCCTCCCACCCCCAGTTCTCTCCTCTGAGGTCTATTCACTCACTCTCATGGCCTCTGTCCTTTCTAGATGAACCTCCACACATCTCTATCCCCAGGTTTAAAGATACATCCACTTGGAATGCCTATGGGCACTTCGCACCCAACATATGTGACATTTTTCTGCCAACACATCTCATATGATACAAAACTCTCTCAAGTCTACATTCTGAGTAGCTCTTAGAGTTGTTCATTCCCCTGCAGGGCCAGAACCCAAGGCTCGTCATGGGAGAATCTGCTTCCCTTTCCATCAAGTAGCTAAAGAATAAGTTCTAATATGCTAATTGATCTGATTCCCACCCAGTTGTAAATTCTTCCCATGCCTCTTGGGAGCATCCAGTGTTTAAACTTAGTATACTAGACCCCCTCCCACTGCCCACCTTGCTCTCTGTTCTCTTGCCATACCCAGACTAAGCTTCTGCCAGCTCTCTTCAGCATTTTGCTCTCTCTCAGGTCTGGGTCTAGACTCACACTATTTCACCTGCCTCATATGCTCCTCATTCTGCCCCTTTCCTCGGTAAATTCCATAAATCACCTCCTCTGGGAAACCTTCACCAGCTTGTTTTTGGTTTACTCCCACCATTAGCCACTTGCTTGCAATTTCCCTTCGCAATACATCTTTACCATCTTGTGTTATGAGGATGTTTTCTCCACGACCCTGTTTTTATTCACTCACTCAACTATTTGTTGAGAACCTACTATGTGCCAGGAACTATCTGGGGTGCTGAGGCCACAGCAATGAACAAATCAAAGTCCTTGTCTTCATGAAAGCTATATTCTTGGGGGCTCCTTAGGGCAGCAGTTGTCCAGCACCAAGGAAGCCCTCCATACCAGGACATGGTCAGCATTACCTGGGACATGGCACCCAAGGCGTTTTTAGCTGAGCGAGCTGCAGCCTGGAGGCCCTGCTGCCCTGGCTCAGGGGTTTCCAGGCGTTTCCAGGAGGAACCCGTCCCGAGGTTGAGGCTGACTGCTCTTAGGGGCAGCCTTCTTTGGAACTGTCTGCAGAGAGAGCCCAGGGCGCTGGAGGTCTCCAGATGGCCAACTGCAGGCTGTAACACCTCGTCCTCCTCCAGCTGTTCCCGGTCCTGGTGAGATCGCCTGCGCATGGAGGTCCCCATGCTTGGCCACCGAGAGGCCATCTGCCAGGCCAAGAGTCTGTTCTGTTCACCAGACTCTGGGGGAGGTCAAAAGGCAGATTAGCAAGGCACCCACCTCCCCATCTCATCTCCAGGCTCCACAGAGACCCTGACTATAGGGGAAGAGATGGAATGGAAGCCCATGGGGTGGAGTGGAGGCACTTGGCAATTCTGGGTGCGGGGAGGAGGATGCTTCTTGAAATAGGGGTCAGCAAGGCCCAGAAAAGGGCAGGGGCTGAACAATGCTAGTCGGTATATCCTTGCTGCAATTGTCTAAAACAGTTATCTTTTCATCTCAGCCTCCTCTCCGTTGTTGTCTGAGGCGGGGAGGGAGGCAGAGTTAGAAATGGCCCTCGTAGAACCTCAGCACTGGGCCCAGGGTACCATCGGCGGCTTTTTCACAAATTTGCCAACATGCTCCCGCCCAGCCCAGACCCCTTCAGCTTACCAGACCCCTGATTTCCACCTTGCAATATCGAGACGCCCCACATGCGTGCTCGTCCTAACTAGAACCTTCTCCCCGCGGGGCCCAGGTCCCTTCTGAACAGAAGCCCCACTACTCCTCCGTCCGCACTCACCCAACAACTCCGACGTCGACCAGACGCAGAACACAGCTGCTTCTCGCCCACCCCAGCGGATTTGAAACTCCGCGCAGATCCTCCTCCGACTCTGTCTTCACAGCTTATTGGCTCCGTTTCCGCGTCGCTGTCGCGCCGGGGATCCGATTGGCCCTCTGCTCTAGCGGCTGTGAATTCTGCTCTCGGATTGGCCCGGCCGTCTCCATTCATCCCTCAAGATGCCCGTGGGCTGGGCGCGGGGCGTTGCTGCTCCTTTGTATCTGCGGGTCTCGCCGGCGCCGCCGCCGCCGCTGCATTCAGCCACCCGCGCCACCTCCCGGACACCCAACCCCAGGCTGCTGGGGCCCCTCCTCGAACTACAAAGGGTTCTGGCTGGTCTGACTGGGCGGGGCGGAGGCGGGGTCCTGGGATCCCTCTTGTCCGGAGGGTTCAGTGGTTTTGTCACAGAGAACTCGGGACCTGGGTTCCCGTGGAGGTTTTGTTTCAGACTTCTCTCTTGACCCTCTGCCTTCATGAGACAAGGCACTGCCCTTCAGTATTCCCCATACTTGCCCCACAATCTGCCCCCGAGAAACCATCCTAAAAGAGGGAACAGATCGTAGTACACCTCCCGCCCCTCTCCAATTAAGCCCCTCTCCCCGGGCCCCACTCCTTGACCCTCTCCTATTTCCAGCTGAATGCCTCCCTCTCTTCCCTTAGCGTCCAAACGAGCTAAAAACAAACTAACAAACAAACATGCTATTTAGAAAGCTCTATCCCCCAAACTCCTTTTACAGAACCTCAAAGCAGCACTGGCCACTCCGCTGTCCCTCGGTGATGGTTTCCTTGCTGCCATCCTCATATGGTCTCCCCTCCATTCCCCCCTCTTTAGCCACTCTTGCATCTGGGCTCCTTAAAGCTCTGTCCTTAGCCTCTTCTTCATCTCTGGGTGATCTCATCCACTTTCCTGGCCTCAGTTACCGCCCCCGCAAACCCCACCCCCGCCTTCGGCACCTTCCTCGTGGCGAGAATGATGAATGGGTAGCGAGGGTATGGCGCACTTACTATGCACCAGGTACCTGTGTTCCAAGCACTTTATGTTATGAACTCATTTGACCCTCAGTGCAGCCTGGGACTAGATAAGGAGGCCAAGGTAAAGAGACGCTGGGTTGGGCCCCAATTTCCCTCAGTTAGTATGTAGCCGGGCCAAGGTTTCAAAGTCTGCCAGTCTGAGGTCAGGGTCCACGTGCCTTACCACCACATCACACTGTCTCTCCTCCATCTGCACCTCTCCCAGACAGGTATATCCAACCATTTCCTGGATATGCAACTCTTCCTGGGTGCTGCAGGAACCTTAAACTAACAAGACCAAAGGACATCTCCCTGGTGTTTCCTTCCAGCCTTCCTCTTCTTTCCCTGTGTCCCCTCTCTTATGTCTTTACAAATACCTACTAGTGTCTGGTAGATTAAACATTATGCTAAAAATGGGCCACAAAGCATTCCTCACTCTCATGGAGCTCAAATCTGGTGTGCGGGAATGGACATTAATGAGTTAAGTAACCGACAATTAATTAATCAAAGAAAATTATGACACGAAAATGGTTATTTAAAACTGAGACCTAGGGAATAAGTTAACCAAGCAAAGAATGTGTGTGTCTGAATGTGTGTGTTTGTGTTTCTGTGTCTTGCACAGGGAACATCAAGGGGACCAGTACCCAGGTAAGAGACCCAGCATACACATATGTGTAACTGAAATAAATGTCTCCTGAAACAATACTTGACTATGTGTGCACCTTTTGATATTCTACTATTTTTTTTTTAATGGCGACAGCTTACTACATTTATTTTACAATGGCTCACTGCTCTAGTTTGCCTGTTCACCCACCTTGTTTCCCTAGTAGAGTCATTTCCCAAGTGTCAGAAGTGTTTGTTCCCAAGCCTGTTTATGTCAGTAGTATTTGTTATTGTAATTAGAAAGTTTAATTCATGTCCTTTTCCAATAAAATATGAAAGGGTAAAGCAAGAATTGATATGTTTGGGAAAACTAGGTT